TAAGATAACAAAATAGGAGTAAAATATAATTTTATTAATTTATAAAGATGGGGTACAATCATTTGTAATATTCTTTACAATAAAAGTAATGGTCCTCTGATTTGATCTCTTTTTTGGTTGTTAGTTGGATTCAAGGGCTGCACGACCTTGCTCTTGAACCACCGTGGACTTTGAATGAAGAACGACACGATTTGATGTGCTTGGTGTTCTTCATCTTCAGAGAGAATTTGTTGAAATTGGTGAAGAATGGCACGACTTTGTATATGCTTGATATTCTTCGCTTTTGGTTTGGATTCTGAATTTGTGTCTCTGACTTTTGAGTCTTTGGATTTCTGGACTTATGAATTCTGAATCTGTGTCAGCATTTCTAGATTTCTGAATTCTGAATTTGTGTCTAAATTTCTGGACTTCTGAATTTGTGTCTGAATTTTTGGACTTCTGAATTCTGAATTTGTGTCTAAATTTCTGGACTTCTGAATTCTGAATTTGTGTCTGAATTTCTGGACTTCTGAATTCTGAATTTGTGTCCTTTATTGAATTTGAGAAAGAATGGCACATCTTTGGATGTGCTTGTTGTTCTTCGTCTTCAGAGAGGAGAGAATTTGTTGAATTTGGTGAAGAACGGCACGACTTTGGATGTGCTTAGTATTCTTCGCCTTTAGGTTTCCCCTCGGGATTTCTGAGTCTCTGGATTTTTGGACTCTGAATTCGTCTCCCCCTCCTTCTTCCTCCAGGCCTCTATTTATAGGCTTCTTGGATTCATAAGATGATGACATGTGTCATCTCCTGATAAGGATAAAATAATAACTGGGCCGGGCCGGTTATATTATAATAATTATCCTTAAAATTAATTATTCCAAATATATTTTATTAGGAATAATTAACTTTATATTTAACCATCTGGGCTGGGCTTAATTAAATAATTTAAGTGGACCAAACTTGGGCCAATTAAATAACTTAATTAAACATTAGGCCCATATTTAATGAGTCCATTTGTCCAAATCAAAGTCCACTAAAATTTTAGTGTTTACAGGCTCATAGTGCCAGCTGCCACTTAATGTGCCTGGCGCTCGGCTAGAATGCCACTTGCCACTTGGCTTCTTACTTTTTGGCAAGCATTTGGCATTCAACTCATAGTGCCAGCTGCCACTTAATGTGCCTAGCGCTCGGCTAGAATGCCACTTGCCACTTGGCTTCTTACTTTTTGGCAAATATTTAGCGTTCGGCTCATAGTGCCAGCTGCCATTTAATGTGCCTGGTGCTCGGCTAGAATGCCACTTGGCTTCTTACTTTTTGGCAAGTATTTGGTGTTCGGCTCATAGTGCTAGCTGCCACTTAATGTGCCTAGCGCTCGGCTAAAATGCCACTTGCCACTTGGCTTCTTGCTTTTTGGCAAGTATTTGGCGTTCGACTTGTAGTGCCAGTTGCCACTTAATTTGTTTAAGTGCCTTTGTTCAGGAAGGCAGTATTTTTATAAACATCTTAAGGTTCTGTCAATTTGCAATTATACGCTTGAAAGTAAACATTGTTCAAATTGAAACTTAATTTTTATTGATAATACCTTTTCAAAGATGTGGCATTCCAAGGCTTGTTTACCAGCCTCCCAACCATGGTTTCCAATATATACGCCCCATTTCCTATGACCTCCGCAATTCTATATAGTTCTTCCCAAGGTGACATCATTTTCTTGATAATTCCAACTTTTCTTTTCAGAACTAGATCACCAAGTGCAAAATCTCTATGCCTTATCTTTCTGTTATGGCTGTTCATAAGTGTTTGCTGATATGACGCAAGTCTTACTGCCGCAACATTCCTCTTTTCCTCAAGCAAATTGAGGTTGAACCTCAGCATATGATCATTCTGCTCCTGATTCCATGCTAGGCTTCGAACAGTGGGAACTTGATGCTCCACCGGTATTACTGCTTCAGTACCATATGCCATGGCGTACGAGCTTTCCCCAGTCGGTCACCTCGGTGTCGTTCTGTATGCCCACAGAATGTTCAGGAGTTCATCCAACCACTTTCCTTTCTCATCTTCAAGCTTCTTCTTTATACAAGCGAAGATCGTTCTGTTTGTGATCTCAGCCTGACCATTCGCCTGTGGATGGCTGACCGCTGCTAACTTCTGATTAATTCCATATTCTTCTAGCAACTTCCTCACCTGCTTGCTATCGAGGTTAGTCCCATTATCTATGACGATCAACCTCAGTACACCAAACTGACAAATGATATTACTCCAAATGAAACGTCTCACGTGATTCTTAGTGACACTAGGATACGGTTCTGCCTTTACCCATTTGGTAAAGTAGTCTGTTGCAAGCAGAACGTACTTATTTTGTGATCTGGCGGTAGGTAATGAGCCAACCATATCCATCCCCCATTGCGCGAAAGGCCATGGTTTGGCCATTACGTGCAAGTCTTCTGGTGGTTGGTGGATCAGGGGCCCGAATCGTTGGCACTTATCGCATCTTCTCGAAAATTCCTCCGCGTCTCGTGGCATGTTCGGCCAAAAGTACCCTTGCATCATTGCTTTGTGAGCTAGGGACCTCCCCCCTGAATAATTACCACAAACACCTTCATGAATGGTCCGCAGTATTTACTAAGCTTCTGCAGGGGTTACACACTTTAGATAAGGTCCTAAATAAGACCTCATTTATAACTGATCGTGTACAATGGCATATTTCGCAGCATTCGATCTGATCCTTCTTGCCTCATCCCTCTGTTCGGGCAAAACACCATCTCGGATATATGCCATAATCGGATCTATCCAGCTTGGCTCATATGGTATGACGTTCACTTGCCATGGGTCAGAGCTTAACGATTCCTCCGAGATAGATGGCTGGCACAACACACCAACTGGAATCACTCTTGCCAATGTCTCACCCGAGCTAGATGCACTGCAGGCCAACTGGTCGACATCTTCATTGTGCTCCCGCGGCACTTAATGAACTTGATCTGATCAAAGTTGCTGGCCTTGTGCATAACGGTTGAACGTTATGCTTCCATAGTCTCATCTTTTGTACCATACTCCCCAGTCACTTGTCGAATGATTAGCTGCCAGTCACTGAAGGTGACTAAGTTTTTGACTTTTAGTTCCTTGGCCAACCTTAACCCAGCCAATAGCGCTTCATACTCTGCTTCATTGCTGGTTGCCCTAAACTCAAGCCTGATCGCTTGGCTCAGCACAGTGCCCTCTGGTGTTTGTAACTTGACCCCGATTCCTGCCCCCATTTGATTTGAGGAGCCATCTACGAAGAGCTTCCATGAGGATCCTTCCAAACATTCATCTGGCTCTTCCACATCACACTCTAGTAAGAAATCAGCCACCGCTTGCCCTTTGATGGCCGTTCGGGGTTCATACGTGATATCAAAAAAGCTTAACTCTATCGCCCACTTCATCATTCGTCCGGACAAATCGGGCTTATGCAGGATCACCTTTATAGAAAAAGTGGTCAGAACGACTATAGGATAGTATTTGAAGTAGTGCCTGAGCTTTCTCTTTGCATTCACCAAGGACAAGATCACTCGTTCGGCCTTTAAATATCTTCTCTCTGGTTCGGCCAATGTCTTGCTTACATAAAAAACTGGAAACTGCTTACCCTCAGCACATCGGATTAAAACACCGCTGGTTGTAACGCTAGAAACTCCAAGGTACAAGAAAAGTTTTTCGCCAGGTTCTGGGGCATTCAAGACTGGTGGGTTCCGCATATATTCCTTTAGATTGGTCAGTGCCTGCCTCTGTTCATCCCCCCAGGACTGCTTTCCTTGACCTCTGATTGTATCAAAGAATGGCTTACACCGATCGGATAACTTGGAGATAAATCGACTCAATGCCGCTATTCGTCCGGTAAGAGCTTGGACTTCCTTAATAGTGCAAGGTTCTGCATTTTTAAGCAAAGCTTCCGCTTGGGTTGGGCTGACCTCAATCCCTCTGTTGTTGACCACATGGCCAAGGAACTGCCTTGATCCCACGCCGAACGAGCACTTTGTTGGATTTAATCTCATTCCATACCTTCTTAACAAATTGAACACTTCTTGCAAATGCTTCAAATAATGACCCTTCTGCTTGCTCTTTATCACCATATCGTCAATGTAAGCCTCCACTGTTTTGCCCATCTGATCCTTAAAAATTTTGCTAACCAATCTTTGGTACGTAGCTCCAGCATTTTTTTAATCCGAACGGCATGACCTTGTAGCAATAGATCCCTTATTCGGTGTAAAAGAGGTTTTTTCTTCATCGTTCGGATCCATTAGAATTTGATTCTAGACTGAGTAAGCATCAAGAAAAGTCAACCGCTCATACCCTGTTATGGCGTCCACCATTTGATCAATCTTCGGAAGTGGAAAGCTATCATTCGGGCAGGCTTTATTCAGATTGGTGAAGTCAATACAAACTCTCCATTTCCCGTTCTTCTTCTGCACTACAACCACATTTGACAACAAGTTAGGGTATTGTACCTCTCGAATGAACCCAGCTTCTAACAATCGGTTTACCTCCTCAGCAATGATCTAGTTGCGTTCCGGGGTGAACCTTCTCTGCTTCTGCTTCATAGGCCTGACGTTCGGATCAACGTTAAGAGAATGACAAGAAACAGTAGGGTCGATCCCTGGCATGTCTGAATGGCTCCAAGCGAACACATCTGTATTTTGGGAAAGGAAATCAATTAACTGGCATTTTCGCTCATCGGCGAGTCGCGATCCTACTTTTGTGGTTCGGCATGGCCTCAAATGATCAATTTGAACTTCAACCAGAAGCTCTTCGGTCAGCATCATGGACTCCTCCTCCCTGCTCATGACGAGGGGAGGTTCCTGTAATTGCTATTGCGCATCAACAGATCGGATGAGAGCCTTTCCCTTCCCTGTGGCTTTCAGAGTCACTGAGTAACATTCCTTTGCAGCAACCTGATCCCCATGGATATCAATCACTTTGCTCCCGTCCGGACTTAGGCACCTCATCACTTGTTGTAGGGTTAAGGGGACTCCCTTTACCCTATGGATCCATTATCTCCCCATCAACAAGTTATAGGAGGGATAGATCTCCACCACCACAAATCTTTCGACTAAGTCCCTCTCAGCTGCTCGAACCACCAATTCAACAGTGCCGATCAGTTCGACTCGTTTGCCATCAAACCCCAACAACGGATTTCCAGTAGACTTAAGTTCCTCTGGCTTAATTTCAAGCCGATCAAAAGTAACTCTAGGCATGATATTCGTACTGCTCCCCAGATCAATGAGCATTCTTCGTACTAAGCATTCTGCCACTGTCAAACTAATAACCAAGGGGTCCTCATGCAGAATCTGAACTCGCATCAGGTCGGTCTTATCGAACCTTATCTGCATGGCCGAGCTCTGTTGGTGCAGGGTGTTGATACTGCCTACTCGCCTCTTCATTTGCGCTTGGTGGAGGCGTGTTCGGAGTAATTCCTCAGATTTTGCGGTCTGCTCGGGTCGGCCATAGATTGCGTTAATAATCCGAACGGGCTGAGCGTTAAGGTGGCTCGGTTTTTGGTTTCTCTTGACCTGCTCAGCTGGATGATTTTTCTCTTGTGCCGGCCCTTGAACATACCCTACAAACTCCCTTCTGGCGATCAGCATTTCCACTTGCCTCCTCAGGTTCCTGCATTCGTTAGTCTGATAACCAAAATCACTATAAAAAGCACAATGCTTAGATTGATCCCTCTGCTCGAGAGGTTGTCTGATTGGTAAGAGAGGACGAAACTTATCTTTGTTTTCTTGGTAGAGCCTCGCCAACGTAACTTTGAGTGGAGTAATCAGTCCATCCTCTCTAAAACTTTTCTCTGCCTTCCAGGAGGTCTGATGTTGCGGTGGGGGTTGTTTCTGCCAAATCTTGACTTTGGACTTCTCCTCTGTGGAGATGATAGATGTCTTCCTAGCGTTAGCTGCTTCCTCTTCTTCTAGACGAACGAAGCCATCAGCTCTCTCGTTCAGCTCGTCCATCGTCTTTGGTGTGTTTACCACCAGACTCGTATGGAACAGAGTTCCTCAGGTCATTGCTAGCTTGAACGCTTGAACGGCTGTTGATGGATGACACTCCATAACCATACTTTTAACAAGGTAAAACCTAGTGAGAAAGGCCTGGAGCCGATCATCCTCATGCTGCTTCATTGTAAACAAACTCGACACATCTTTTGCCGGACATTTATTTCCATAATACTGACTTATGAACTTATCACACAAATCCTGAAAGCTAGCAATTGAACCTTAAGCCAAGTTCTTGAACCAATTGAGGGCTGGACCGACTAAGCTCGTAGGAAAGCACTTGCACATCAATGGATCGTTGTTCGTGTTTAAAGCCATTTTCAACTGAATATGGTAGATGTGATCGATCGGATCGGTTGTTCCATCAAAAAGAATGAACACAGGTATGGAGAATTTCCTCAGATTCAGAGCGTTCAGGATCTCGTTAGTAAATGGAGAGGCAACCGTTCTTGCAGACGAACGAAGCGCCTCATTCTCCCTTGAAAACTGCGATGGAACCCTCGGATCCGCCGATCTCTCATCGGAACTCCTATAATCATAGGTCGCCATTGAAGGACGGTAAGGTGGATCGATTGACCTCTCCTCCATGAATCCTCTCTGCCATAGCGACGAGGTTCCGTGTTGACCGACCTCTATTGCTTCATCACGTCGCAATCCTCCATGATTTGGATTGAACGTTGCGGCTCCTTCTCATGTGATTCGTTCGCGGTACGGATCCTGGTGGATTGATCCCTCCCTATTCTCCATCTGTCGGAGGTTAAGAAGTAGATCACCTTGCAACATCTCGTCGCAGTGAAGATCCATGCGACGTTCCCCTTCCAGATCGTCATGATAAGCAGCATTAGACAGCGCAACTGCTTCAACTATCGGAGATGGCCTTGGAACTGCAGGAGCCTCACGACGCTCCATTCCAGCTCGCAATTTGGCGTTCTCTTTTCTTAACGCATCAATCACATTCATCAACTCATCGAGCTTCGACTGCTGGCCATTGTCCAATAGATTTGAGCTCTCTCCTCCGATCATCATGCCGGATCGAAGCAAAGTCATTCACTGCAGATTACCGGTTATATCTGAGCTTCGCTAACACGAACGCACTAGATCTAGACTTAAGCTTAGTCGAATTCTGACTGCAATTGACCGGATCTGGATTGCTCCAACAACTAATTCAACAAACTCAATAATCTCTACTGATCTCAACCATACAATTCATCGGAACAAGTGCAAACCAGAGCTGTGCGAATCGAACTATCAAGCTTTCCAAATCAAATGGAATTGAGACTCGACAAAACAAATTGCGATTTCACCGATCACGATTTTGCCTTCTGCGATCAAGCTTCTTCTTAACGAACTGCTCTAGATCGAATCAAGCTAAATCGAACACTCATCAATCTTCTTCGTTCCCACAGACGGCGCCATTGAAGATGAAAGAATTTTCTCTCTCCAAATTGGCAGAGTTTCATTACACTTCAAACATTTCAATCCCCTTTTTCTTCTCTTTTTCTTCTATTTATAGACAATTTGCACTATTCTGGAGAATTCCTAACTAACTTCAGCCGCTGGGCCTATTCTGGTGGTTATGCCATTATGGGCCTAACTCCTCTTTGGGAGCCTTTGCCAATAACCCCTTGCACCAGGTCTGCTACGTGGATACGAAGTTTGGGCCCAGGTCAATTATCAGGCCCAAACTTCGTTATGTAAGCTCGATCCGACCCAAGCCGTCTTTGGCATCCTCAGCTACAAATGTAAGAAAAATAATGATCCAACAGTAAATAGATAATACTAATTATTTTATAAGACTTTGATTCAGATGGTTGTATAGATGAAAATGCTATATTTCGTTAATTTTAATTTGTGATTTTATTGTTGATTAAATTAAATCAACACATCTCTTCCATGTTTAAACAATTGAGTTTCCATATTCTATATATCTCTTATTAAATTTATACATTAAATTTATGTTAGCAATTTCCTACATGTAGTATCAAAGTGCATCATAGATTCCAAATATAAATTTGGATATTTTATGTCAAGTAAAATAATCTTTACAATTGATTTAGTATATTGTAAAATTTAAAACCAAGTGGAAAACTTCAAAAAGTCAGTTTACTATTTTTCATTGGTATATATATGTTACATGTGATGAAGGGAGGAACGACAACGTCGGGAATTTATGAGCTGCTTGGTTTGATAGTTACAATTGAATTTTATTATTATTATTATTATTTTTTATTTTTATTTTTTTTCATGCAATGTATAATTTGGGCAGTCTTGTTCATGCAATGTATGATTTTTTTTTTAAAATAATAAATTAAAACAAGGATAAAATACTACGTACAATTACAATAGTGTTTTAGTCTTGCCTTATTTAAACAAAATTCAAGTCAATTTACTCATGGGATGGTTAGATTCCATAATTTTTAAGTATATTTGTTTTCAATTCTATAACTTGTATTCATATTTGGATAAATCATAAGTAAAAAATAGAAAATGATAACATTCTTATTTTAAAAGAGATGAAGAAGAGAAAAAAAAAACATATCATTTTAACTATCATGTCCTTTTATATTTATATTACAAATTAGTTATCATGCAACTTTTTTACTTAATTTATATATAATTTGGTAAGGTATAAGGAAAAGTTTCAGTGGTTTAGAAGTTGATAGAAAAATAATTGCATAGCTATTAAAAATTGATAGGTCATACTTGTTTCTCAAAGAAGAAAATATACATGTATAACCACTTGATTTCTAATTCCAAAAGACATCTCTCTCGCCAATCATATATGGTGGTTCCAAGAGTGTTATTCATATGCCAGTCGTATATTATATTCATACAGCAGACGTGTGAAGTGAAGGATGAAAAGCCCTGAGATGTGACTCACATGTGTTTAAAATTTTATTATTTGAAATGTTTAAGATATTTTTGATATTGTGAAATAGTTATCTTATTATCATTTTACTTCAAACCTTCGCATTAAATTTTTTTTTTTTTTTTAAAAAAAAAAAAACCCAAAGTCCGACCTCCAGTTCTTTATTTTCTTTTCATTAAAATCAACCCAAAGATTCCAAACACAAAACTCACAATCCCTTTTTTTTTTTTCTTTTCTTTTCTTTCCAAATCCTTCAAAATCATTCCATCCGAATTAATCTCTCCATCTAAGTATTCAATCTTAATATAATTATTTAAGTGGTTATGGAGTACTCTAAGAGTCTGATGTGGTTATCATTCGCACATAAAAATAATAATAATAATTGTTGATGCGAAAATTCTCGCGACTCGGAACGACAACGTTTACTTGCAAAACAAAAGACGTCGTCTCGAATAGCACCTAGCACCGGTGAGGTGCCAGTCGAGAATCCTCTGACGATCAAGTTAGTACTTGTAATCGTATCACATAATAATTATGTATATTCTTTCTTGGAGTTTTTTCTCGTTCCTTCTTTAACTGCTTGGTGCCCTATTTATGGCTGTCGATTGGAATCAAGTTGATCCGCTTGTGGGAGATCCGAGAAGATCGTTTGTTGCCAGATTTGTCGGGATGTAATTTACTCCTTTGACTTTCTCAAATTGTGCCAAGATTATCCTCACCCTATTGAACATGTCGTCATTCATTATCTTGGATAAGAAAATAAGAAATGTCATCATTGAAAATCTTTATCTCTCATAATGAAATATGTGGAAGAGGTCTCACGGTTGATGAAGGTAAATTATTTTTCTCTATCAATAATAAAATAATAATAATAAATTACCAAAAAATAATAATATATATTATAACAGTAAACCTCACACTGAACACTTATAGTGAATTGTCTAATCATTGAATAATTTTTAATTAATTATTTATATCAAATATAATTAGGTGGAGGACTCTACTTCTTTATATATTGCATAATTAACTAATTAAAAAAATATGTCTAAGTAATTCACTATACATATTTAGTGCAATAATCATTCTCGTATGCATTAATGAGGAAAACAAAAAAATTCATAAAAAATATTGTAAATTAATATTTGCATAGTTGTGACATATGGACGAAAAATATTCTTCCAACATGTAAAGAAAGACGACCGGTCTGGAGTCGAACCCGTCACTACAAAATACACAAATCTCAAACTCAAAACCCTCGGCTAGTGATCTCCAAGTCCTCCCTAGCTATTTCTTTGGTTTTCTTGTTAGAATTTACAAGAGTTTTTATTTACCATTGTTATTATTTTTCATGAATCATCTCTGGGAGCTACTGTAGTTTGGATTTGTGTTAGTGGTCTCAGCAGCTTTTCTTTTGCTCTGTGTTACAGAGAAATTAGGGTTTGATTTCCTGTGCAGAGAACACAATTGGTTCATGGAAAGATTCGGTGATGATGTGCTGGGCTTAGTTCTCAAATGGGTTGAAAACCCTAATGACAGAAAATCATTCTCCAAAGTCTGCAAGCAATGGTCCAGAGTCGAGGGTCTTCACCGATTTACGGGTTCTCGAACCCAATCTTCTTCCTAATTTCTTACTCAGATTCCCAAACTTAGTCTCATTGGAATCATCAAGAGTGATCACCAATACCCACATCAAATTCATAGCCAAAACTTGTCCCAACATTGAAGTTCTCAATCTTAACTACCAAAAAACATATGGTATACCGGGTTGGGATGATGTTGATGGTTCTGGTATATGTCAGATAGCAAATGGGTGTCCTAATTTAGCTGAAGTGTATCTGAGTAGGAGATGCCAAGTTGGGAATTTCGGAGTCAAATTTGACTACTTTGGATTTGGCTGATTGCATTAGGATTGCTGATGAAGCCCGTAAAGCTATCGGGAATGCAAATTCATTGCAGGTTTTGATTTTGCGAGGCTGTTGGTTAATTACAAATACGGGTTTGGCTTTGTTGGCCAGTGGGTCTCTGTCTAGAACTCTACAAGAATTAGACATTGCAGAGTGTAACCGAATTTCAGATGATGGGGTATTGCATTTGAGGGAAATGTGTTGTTTGGAGAAGTTGAATTTGGCAAACTGTGGATTGGATGTGACTGACACCGGGGGTGTGGCTATTGCTGCAATTCAAACTCTCAAGGGATTGACCTTTTCGTGGTTGATTAACATATCGGATGCTACACTCGTTGCTCTTGCTCAGAACTGCCCAAATTTGGTGTCCATTGAACTGAGGGGTTGTGAATCAATAACGGGTGATGGCATTTGTGCCTTTGCAAATCATAAGTCTTTGGAATCACTTGTGTTGGCTTCTTGTTACAAGTTTAGCGGGGAGGATTTGCAAGAGATGGTGCGCGGATGCCAGACCTTGAGGCGCATTGTGCTGGACAAAAGACAGAGAATGTGGATCCCTGTGACAATTCAAGAGAATATCAGCAAATTTTGTAGGTTAGAGTGGTAGAAGTGATGGATGAAATAAGGACTTAAATTTGTGGGTTAGATCAGTGTATGTTGAGGCTGGTTGGAGTTCTTATATAGTTCCATGCTTCATGAACCTGTGAGCAATCATCAATCATGCTTTCTTTATCTCCATTATATTGAGATGCTGATTTCATGATTTGTTCATTTTCTCGCATTTTCTTGCTGGTGAATTAATCCACATATATGTATTGAAAATAAATGCAGTTTGACTTTATGCTATGATTTTTGTATCCGAACTTCTTTCTTAACTTTGCAATTTAAAGGCCGAATGTCAAGCAAGCATCATATGATTCATGGAATATTTAGTAGGAAAAGGGGCACACAACATAGCTGCATCTGGCCAACCTAATTGTCTCTCACCCATTCACCGAAAAATTAAATAGATAAATAAGTACAAACATTTATGGAATTATGGTGGCTAAATTTGTTATACCTTTTCTTTAATTGAAGTACTGTGGCACTATTCTGAAGAGCAATGTCAGTACAATACACGTTAGATTAATTTTATTTTTCTGTCCACCTCTTCCTAGTCCACCTCCCCGGTCACCGAGGAATTTAAGGAAGTTCCTTTGTGCTATATTTTTAAAGTTTTGACATTTGCTCAGCCTATTATCTCCCTTTTGTTTCTAATCACTCCATCTCTTTAATGTTGTGCCATGTGATGTTAGTCCAGGTACTCTGCAAAGATGACCTTCCATTAGTCTTTCTTGAGTGCCCTAAGTTTAGGAGGGGGGATAAGAAACTTAAGCTAGATTTCAACCTCTTAGTTGGCTGAGGGAGGCCGACGCATTAAATTTTTATTGAGGTAGCATGGTGGAAAAAGGTCCATGGAGGTACACTCCTTGGTTAAGAGATCAATTCAATTGATCTGTTGCGATATTTGAAGTGTGCTTTCACTGTAGTTGCGCTGACTTCAGGCTTAGAAGGTTGATATCCTGAATTAGAGTTCGAGTTTGATACTTGTTGTCCATGAAGTGCTTATTTTCTTCTTGTTTCCTGAATATGTTTCTTTGATTTCATCTGCCCTGCTTTGGTTTGGCCTGGAAGTCTTATATTCAAGGCAACATCCTAGTGACGTATAAGATCATCTACATTGGTAGTTACAGACCTAGGTCAGGAGTTTGAGTGTTTATAACAACAAAGTATTTTTTCTTTCTTTTTTTCTTAAAATCACAATTGTCTCGTTATGAGTTTGAAAATGAAATTGGTTAAGGGGTTTAAAATTAGTAACACAACTTAGATTATGAGCTTACACAAGTTTTTGATGAAGATGAGCAAATGAGTTTATGTGTAACAACAAAGTATTTTTTTCTTTCTTTTTTTCTTAAAATCACAATTGTCTCGTTATGAGTTTGAAAATGAAATTGATTAAGGGGTTTAAAATTAGTAACACAACTTAGATTATGAACTTACACGAATTTAAATATCCTATCCAGTAGACAATTGAATGCTATGAATTCTAATCAGAAATGAATATGAGAATTACCTCTCTTTGATTAGGGTGGGGTTAGTGAAAATTTAAAATGTGGAGGGGCCAGTGACCGCGGGCACCTTTGAAGATATAATTGCCATAACAATAATGATTGTTGGGCACTTATTCCTCAATTGGTGAAAATCTCATGTACGATTCTGTAGAGCAGTTGCTTTTGTTTGATTGTCTTTAGATATCAATATGCATGGATGACCCTGAAACAAGATATGAAAATACCAGTGATTTTCTTCGCCCCTTTCCTTGAAACCAAGATATATACATGTAAATGCAATACTGGAATTAAGCAGGAGAATATATATAAATGTGATCAGATTCTCTTTATCAAGTTTTGATGACATTAAGATGTATTCTTATTTCTTTATATTTGGTGCCTAACATCACAGCTAGCTCTTTAAAGTAGAGGAGTAGTTCTCTTTCACTAGCTGCCTTAAGGTGCTCTAATGCAATGAATGTGATTTATGGAGCTTATGCCCATTTAATAGGAAAAACTAACAATTAAGAAGTTCTCTCTCTTAAATAAAAAACAAGGCTTGTCTTTTCTTTTTTTTTTAATAGGTAAAGGTAATTGAAGTTGTGACGACTGAAGTTGAGAGATTTTGTGTATGGTTGGTAAAGAACGAAAGATTTTTGTAATTCTGTACCTAATTTACAGAATTACAAAATATTTTAATAAGAACGAAAATATTTTACAGATGTAGGTAATATACCATTGGATTTTTGTAAGTAGAATGTACGTAGTTTTTTTATTATTTTACCATATCTATTTTATAATTTATATGAAATGTCAGTTAAACAAGCATGTTTGTCAAAATGTAAAAAGACTGAATGAGCAAGTCTGCATGCTAATAACATTCATACCTGATTCATGTGAAAAAGCATAATAAAATGAATGTTGACAACAAATGAGATTAATTGACTTGCAACTAGCATATTTCTAAAAGGACTTGCTTGGTTTTGAGATTGGTGGCTAAAAAAGCATATTTGTAGTAGTATCTATGAATTTAGTTGAACGTCGTATATTCTTGAAATATTGGAGGAAACCTAATAATGAAATAGCAACAATAATATTTAGTTTGATTACTCTAATTTCTAATCTTTGCCCACCGAATTCCAAAATTTGATATTATTTCATGTTGAAATCTCACTTTAATCCTGATATATGTAATCCTTTTATGTGGGAGCAACGAGATATCTCCAGCAAGATACCCGAATGAAAATTGTTTACATTTCTAATATGTTTTTTTATTTTTTTCATTCCTCTTTTTTTATACTCTTCTATTTAGTTTTTGATAATTTTCTTTCTTCTCATTTACCTGGTAAGACTAATAAACCTGAGGGACCAACAAAACACACCATATATTATAAGTGAACAACAGAATACACCAGAAAGTATTCTCATGACTAATAAACCCAAGTGACCAACAAAACACACCATGTATTGTAAGTGACCAACAAAACACACCAGAAAGGGAAAAGTCTAGAGAGAATAAGGTTGATATGCATGAACTAATAATATATGCATGAACTATTCTTGATAGCCATGTCCGAGTCAGCAGATCACAGTAAGCATGATGAGAATCTATCTCTGCATTTGCCATTTTCTTTTATGTTCTCCTTTAATCAGGCAAGAGACTAGATTACTTAATTCCAACTCATATTAGACTATGCTAATAGTGAGTAATGGTAAGTGATCCGAACTCATATTAGACTATGCTAATAGTGAGTAATGGTCCGTTATCCAAACTCATATTAGACTATGCTAATAGTGAGTAATGGTCCGTTATCCGAACTCATATTAGACCATGCTAATAGTGAGTAATGGTCCGTTATCATCTTTGACCAGATTGTATAATTTTATTTTAATACGATCTTTTTATGGTGAGACAATTTTAAAATAGACTACAATGAATATGCAGCTTATCCAACAATAGTTGGGAAGACTGTCAAATAATTGAAAAGATCCCCTTGTGAGTGATCTAACAAAAATGGGAAAGAATGGCATTTTACAACATATGGGAAGTTTCTTGTTTGAGAAGAACATCTAAAGCTTTTGGGGTAAGCTGTGGAGAATTGAAGCAAAAGAGAAGGTGCTGCATTTGAAAAGGAGTGGTATTGTCTACTGTGGAAGAGGAAATAGGTCAGAGATGTGGTTTAGCTTCAGAGATCATTGAACATTTTTGTTCTTCGACTGTCCCATTATGGTAGAGCATCAAGAAGATTTACTCATCCTTATTGCCAATATGGGTTGGAATATATATAAATATTTTTTCCTAATAATATATATATATATATTGCTAATGCCTCGTTGCCTCCACGAATCAATGGGAAGGCTTATTTGGTTTGTAATTTTGAAAACAGTTCTCAATAATTTAGAAAATAGAAAACAGTTTTTAAAGAACAATAAAAGACAATTCTCTGAAAACAGACCTTTTAATAATTGATTTTTCAGCAAACTATACCAAACAGAATTTTTTATACAATTTTTTATAACAGAAATTATTCTCAGAATTACAAGTCAAGCAAGGCTTATAAAGTAGCTATTCTAAAACAGATAATTCTACTATGACATTAACTAGGTTTGCCTTTCTCTCTTAAATGGCAGGCCCTTTCTTATGGCTGTGTAAAACTTAACTTTGATGCAAGTTTTAGTAAGCAAACAGGTGTGTAGCAGGTGGATTGGTTGTTCAAAATTCTAGAGGTAGTATTGTCAATGTTGCGACGTGTTTTGTGAATCTGGATCCTCTCATTGGACAGTCTATTGCACATTGGGAGGTGAGATTATTTCTAGAGATAGAGTGGTCCCTTTGTGTGTGAGGGTAATACATAAAAGTGAGAAAGTATCACTAAACAACCGACACATGTACCAAATTTATAATAATATTAAAATGGTGGAAATATTAAAATGGGAAGGTGTAATGTTGATTGTAAAAATCTTTTATTGGAGGTCGATAATTAAGAACTCATCTTAACACTTTAATGGATCCTCTCTCTCTCTCTCCAAGTTTGTGCTGGAAATATTTTTTTGTTATTATTACGATGTAGAAGAGAAATAAAGGGAGTCCTAAAATAAATCAAAAGGCAAAATGATTTTGAAATTTTAATTTTCATTATTATTTTTTTATTTTTTATTTGCATGCTAAAAACGGAAAGAAAAAAAGTACTAGTAGTTCTTTTTAATATTGTTCTTTATTTAACCATCTTAAAATGTCATTCAGTATATCTATTTCATACATAATTCACATTTCTTCATACATAATTCACACGAAATGTAAAATGGACGAGCATATTTCTCCAAATGTGAAAGAATGAGTATGATTCAACAAGGATGGCATGCTAGTGCAAGAAGCATATTAATAAAATGATTATTTATAACAAATTATAAGAAATGACTTGCTTCATTTGACATTGGTGTGGCTAAAATATTCTATCTAATGAATTTACTTAAGCGTTGGACTATGTTGAAATATGGGAGGGAACTAATAATAAAT